AAAGAACCATAGGTGCTCTTATTTGTAATCAAAAGACTAGGAGTTAATATTACAGACGGGTAATCCATCTCCTTTCAAATTGGCAAATGTATTAAAGAATTATAATGTGATGGTAATAAGTCTCTTTGTCTGGCACAGGCATTCTCACAGACTGTGGGTGGAGATATGTAGAGATTCACCCTCTTGGGAAAGTAATCAAATGCCCCTATGTCTTTACACCTGTACATCGTTAGTCCAGTAATTTCCCTTCTAGGAATCCTTACCAAGGAAGAAATCAGTGTTGGTGGCAAGAAATTACATACCAAAAAGTTTCTTATAATATTAGTCATGATAACACAAATTTAGAAGAAAATCTCATCAATCAATAATAGGAGGATCATGACATGAATCATGGTGTATTTTTAGAAATTATTTATGTTTTTTACTTTTTTGATACATAATACTTTTACATATTTATGGGATACAAACTATCACATGTACCCCTAAATATTTATGGGGTTTTTGTAAACCATTGAAAATTTGGGACTTTCTTGATCTAAAGAAATCCATTCTTGCCAAGCACAAAGTATCACATGTACTTCATAAATATTTAAAATGTTATGTATCAGTTATGCATAGAATGTGTCCTGATCAAGTCAGGGTATCTGGGTGTCTATCATCTTCAGTATTTGCCGCTTCTATGTGTTGGGAACATTTCAAGTCCTCTCTTTTATTTTGAAATATACAATACATTGCATAGTACCCCTGAATTCAAAATAAAAGTTAAAAAAAAATACAGAGATGCCAGAGGCTTACATGGGGTCACTTTGCACCACCAAAAGCCCATTGTAATCCACTCCGGTTAACAGAGATAGTGGGAGTAGGTGAATGTGGGGGGGATGAGGAATGTAAATGATAAAGCTGGGGCTTAAGAGGTGGGGAAACATAGGACACTCTCAAATGGCCGTCTTATTTTCTCTACTTCCCTCTGTACCAAGAAGGTACATTTTTACCTAGTAAGGGAAGGCAGAATGGAGCGAGGGAATGTGGCTGTCAGTCAAGCAAGCTTGATGTGTCATTCCCTGCTTTCACACCTCCACACCCCAACACAATCCCCAACCTTCCTCTGCCCACTGGGGGACCCCACCTGGCCTGTGTGTGCCACAATTCCCTTCATAACAATTAGCTCCCCACACACACACACTGGCCTTGACATACACATTTCCTGAGCAAGTAGCCCTGAGCTGAGCCCAGCCCTCTTCCTCATCCTTTCCAGTAAGTTTTAGGGAGTCATGGCCATGGGATGCTGGACCAGGATGGTAAGCATCAAGAAACAGGGAAGAAGAAGAGGTGTGAAGTCTGCCTTCTGCTCTGCTAGGATCACCTTCACATCTCCTTTGCCTCCAGGCAGTTTTTGGTTCCTGGCTGTTTCCAGGTGTGACTTGCGATCAGGATGGTAAGCATCTTCTCTCCCTTCCAGAGTAAAGGTTGAAGACTTCATCTCAGAGCTCTCCATGAAGGGAGCTCCAGAGAGAGGTCTCAAACTTCCAGCACAAATTGCTAAAGAAACTTCATGAACTGCTGGAGAACCTGGGAAATGACTGATGAAAGGGACAGAGCTCAAATGGTCTGGGACATTCTAGTAGCTGAGAAACTTCCAACTCCAGGGTGATAGAGGACTGCCTGAGAAACCATCACCAAAGCAGAAGACCTGGTGCAAACATCACAGGCTGTGGTTTATTACTGAGAATCAGTATGTATACCCTGCCAGAAGTTCAGAAGCAAATTTGTCAACATTCTCCCTGGAAACGCTGGCCCACATTCTGAAAAGCATGGTCAGTAGTAGCAACAGAAATCTGTTCTTGCCAAGCACAATGTCACTGTCCCCAGCCCTTCCCCCTAGAACAACCCAACAGGTGCTTCCTGGCTGCAATCTTGGGGAAGTCACTTGACCTGTCTGAGATTCCGCTTCCTAATTTGACCTGGTGAAGACAAGAATCACGGTTTATTTAAAGTGTCTAGCACAGTGCTTGGACCAAAATAGGATCTCCAAAATTGTTATGTTTGTGGTTTGTTGTTAAGGTAATTTTTTTTTTTTTTTGAGACGGAGTTTCACTCGTTACCCAGGTTGGAGTGCAATGGCGCGATCTCGGCTCACCGCAACCTCCGCCTCCTGGGTTCAGGCAATTCTCCTGCCTCAGCCTCCCGAGTAGCTGGGATTACAGGCACGCGCCACCTTGCCCAGCTAATTTTTTGTATTTTTAGTAGAGACGGGGTTTCACCATGTTGACCAGGATGGTCTCAATCTCTTGACCTCGTGATCCACCCACCTCGGCCCCCCAAAGTGCTGGGATTACAGGCTTGAGCCACCGCGCCCGGCCCTAAGGTGATGTATTAAGTGCCGATGAGTACAAAGATGGGTAAGATATTTCCTTCTGTTAAAATCTGCACTCCAAAGAAAGAGAACAAGATGAATACACAATAAGTATCATTCAGAACAGGATTATGAGAAGGTGTGAATTTCTGTCAAAATTCAGAAGGGGGAGGAATATGATCTCAGGTGATTGGCAAGGGGTGGGGGGCCGGATTCAACTGGGGTGGGAGCTAGCAGGGAAGGCTCCCTGGAAGATGAGAGTTCAACAGGGGCAGGGGTAGGATGTGAGTGGCCAAGTGATTGGGCAGAAGGAGCTGCAGAAGTAAGACCCCAAGTCAGGAAGACAAAGGCCTGCTGAGAAATATGAGTTATAAAGCACAAGTGCAGGAAAAGTTGGGATGAGATTAGAAGGGGGTCTGGGGCCAGGCTGTGGACGGCCCAAATGCCAGGCTAAGGAATTTATACTTAATTCAGTGGTCAACGGGGAGTCATTGGAGGCTGTTGAGCAGGAGAGTTGCTTTCTTTACAGCTGTGCCAGACTCAATTAAACCTAAACAGTACTTTATAGCTGGAAAGGGAAGACCCAGGAATAGCTCTTGACTCAGAAACAGGCATTGGGGAAAGTAATGAGAAACAGCCCTGACTGATCAAAGCAGAGAGGTTAATTAAATTTGTAATTATTGTGAAAGGCCATTAAAAACCCTAGTTCACTAGAGAACTACTGTAGTGGGGCTTGAAAGATGAACACTTCTCTTAACCTTGGATAGGAGGATGTTTGCTTCTCTGTGGAGGAGATAAGATTGAGGTACTTAATAAATGGTAGATAAACATGCACATTTGTGTGTTCTCTGTAAACCCACTCTCCATCCCTGCATATATCTGTGTTTCTATGTAGGGTGCTCCACAAGAGGTATCCCCAACCTCATGCTATGGGTCCATGACCTATTAGAAACCAGGCCCCACAGCAGGAGGAGCAGAAGGCAAGCAAGCAAAGTTTCATCTGTATTTACAGCTGCTTCCCATTGCTCATATTACCGACTGAGCTCCGCCTCCTGTCAGATGAGCAGCAGCATTAGATTCTCAAAGCAGCATGAATCCTATTGTGGACTGCCCATTTGAGGGATCTAGGCTGTGTGCTCCTTATGAGAATCTAATGCCTGATGATCTGTCACTGTCTCCCATCACCCCCAGATGGTACCACCTAGTTGCAAAAAATAAAAATAAAAAAAGCTCAGGGCTCCCACTAATTTTACATTATGGTGAGTTGTATAATTATTTCATTATATATTACAATGTAATAATAGAAATAATGTGCACAGTAAATATAATGTGCTTATGCCATCCCAAAACCATCCTCCCACCCTGTTTGTGGAAAGAATTGTCTTCCGTGAAACCCATCCCTGGTGCCAAAAAGGGTGGGGACTGCTGCTCTGTAATATCAGGTCAGTAACTCTCCAAAGGAATTTTGTACATGACAGATCTCTAATCTTGACCCCTTATCTATCCAGCAGGTGCCTAGATAACTCAACTTGCTCCATATTGCTAAAGCTTCCCATAAATTGTTCAAATCTATTTCCATTCTGCATTGTTCCATGGTGGCTTGGAACAAGTAGTAGATTACATTAGTGATCTACTAATAGACCAATGGGGACTAGTGGACAGCTCACCACAGACACTGTTGATGGAACTGGCCCTGAATCCCACCAGCACCTTGAGCAACTGTATACACAACATGATCATAGATGTGCAGGACAATACTACTGTCTTGACATGTACATTACTTTGTGGTTTACACAATATTTTCACTTCTCCTGTCTCATTAGAGATACAATTTATATTCCCATTAACCCACTGAGAAAGCTGAGGCTCAGAAAGATGAAGGCATCTACCCAAATATATACTGCATGTAGGGGTCCAGAAAGACTAGAAACCAGATCTCATTTTTAGCTCAGTGTTCTTTCAGCCACATCAAAGTGTATTTATTGGCACTTATAAATTACATAGTATAATTTTTGGCCCCTCTCCTAAAGCCTAGCTGGTAAGAGAAGATGAATAAGAAAGCGATAAAGTGAAAATGAATACACATCAGACTTTATGGTCATGGTGAGTTTCAAGAAGGGAAAAGCCAGAGAAAGGCTTCCTGGAGGAGATGGGAAATTCTGCTGCTGTAGCAGAAACCCAAATTCTAAAAAGCTTAAACACATCAGAAGTGATTATTCCCATGTGTCTAAGTGTAAGCACCTAGGGATGATACAGCATAGAGCTTCTATGGCAGCTCCATGCTGTTGGAGACTCTGTCCCTTCCTGTAATTCTCTGCCTTCTTACTGTACAGATGTGCATGCACACAGCTTACTGAGTTCAAGCCCTGTCCACATCCCAGTCCCAGAAAGGGGAAAGGAAAGAGGATTCCCTTCCCTTTAAGAATACAATCCAGAAGTTGTACAGAGTTGCTCATGAGTGATCTTGTTTCATTACTAGAAAAAAACTGGGACTTGTGGTCTTTGTTCTGGCCAATCACATTCCCAGCTAAAATTCTATCACTATGAAAGAAGACAGAATGATTATTGGATAATAACTAGCAATCTTTGCCATATTCAGGAGGCTCAGCTGAGCCTTTAGCAATGGGCAGGAGTGGGGGTAGTGGCACAGGGCCAGTGATTTGGGGATGAGGAGGGGAAAAGAGGGTATCCCAAGCAGGCTGGACTATATGATAAAGAGCCGGGAAGTTCATCCTAGGCACAGTGAAGAAATGAACATATCAGAAATGGCAGCTGAAGTAAGGAGTAAAACCAGAGGTGTTCACTGAAGCCAGACAGATGAGCCTTGATGGTCCATCAAGATTATTCTCAGGGAAATTGTGTCTAAGGAAAATGTGTTGGCTGGGATAGCAGATGGTGAATTACATGGGTTAGTGATGGGAGTCAGGAAGACCCATTCGCAGGCTCTTTAAACAACCTGCCCATCAATTGACAAAGACTGCCCAGGACAGACTCTCTGGATTGAGAGAATGGGCAGCATGAGTGTTTTTCAAGGAAGAACAACATGGCTTTAATTCTGTTGGGCTCTCTGGGTGAAGGTGCCTGGGAAGCTGCCTCCTTGACATACATTCTCTAGGGCTCCCCACGTACCCAGGCATCCTTCCTGCCTGTGTTCAGAGCACATGATACCAGCACCACATTCAACAACACATATTTTGTTCAATATAAGCTTCATGTGGGCACAAAACTTGGCACATAGTAGATACTCAGCCAACATTTGTTGAATGAATGGCTGAATGAATAAGTAAGTAAAATGCAGGCACAGAACATGCTGGATACTGCAACCAGCAGAGGCCATTAAAATATTCTAGGGAAAGTCAGCTATCACATCTTTAGGATTTTGTCCAGAAAAGAGACTTACATGAAGTGTTTTCTGCAAACTGTCATAGCAACAGCAGCCATTTGTGACATCACGGAGTGAAATGGGACATTATTCTCTGAGCCAGTTTCTTTAGCTCAAACCCACAGAAGAAAATGCAGACACCAGGTAAGCCTGACTCTGTATATTCTCATCTTATTTTCTTCTTATAAGTGCCCAGATTTCCTGAACTGGCTAGATGTGGGTAGTTCCACTGCAATCATTATTCCTGGGGCTTTCTTACATACTCCAACTTCCATTCCGTGAATGAATCAAAAGGAGGTTGCCCTGACAACCACTCACCTCTCTCTCCTCAAGCACCCTGAACAGCCTCAAGTGCTTCACTGAGATAAAAGCCCACAGAGCACCCAGACTCAGGACCTCTGATGATGCACAGCAGCTGAGAGGCTAACCTGAGATGTGCTGCTGTGGATAAAAGCCCTGAAATGCTTCCTCCCCCTCATCTTTCCTGTCATCTACTGCAGCCATTCACACTGACAGGTGAGCACTAGATGCAGTTCTGCCAAAAAGAAGCCACATTAAGAGGCTCTTTGCCAGCGGGCCTGTGAACTGTTTCAGATAACTATGGCATTGTGACATTAGGTAACAGACTCATCAAACCCTTTCTGTGCCACTTAACCTGAGCAGTATCTTGTTCCAACAGCCAGAAGTTTGTTATTCCACGGGTCCCTGGGTATTCTATTCTGAGCTTCAGTAGAAGGGTAGGAGTCCCATGGCAGCCTTTGAATCCAAGATTTTAATATCTAAAACACCAGAATAAAAAGCCCTGAACCTGGCCTCAGTTTTACATTTCCATAATGTGAACCCAAGAAAAATCTATAAATTTATTAAAATAATTAAGCCAGAAAAAAAAACTGGACCAAAATATATTCTCTGAACCAAACCAACATTTTATTCTATTCAAATATTCCAAAGAGCTGAAAGATGGAGTCATATGGTAAATACTGCCAACATTTCCTAGAATGGGGATATCTCTTTTAAGCAGCATTGAATTTGGAGGTGAATGTTTTAAGACATTATTATTATGAAGCCATTTATTCTGCAATTGGTATACAGCAAGCCCTGTACCAGGTACTTCTCATGCATAACTTTGTTGAATTCTCATAACTGATAGGTTGTCTTATTAGTCCCATATTATAGATGAAAAAATGGTTAACGAGCCTATGTAGACTTCTCAAGGTCATACAGCCAGCCAAACACAGATTTTAGCCCGAGTATGAGTTTACTCTCACATCCATGCCCTCTTAGGTGAAAGACAGAAAGAAGGAGAAGGAAGAGGAGAGGAAGGAGAAGAAGAAAAAAGGAGGGAGGGAGCAAGGAAGGGAGGGAGCAAGGGATAGAGGAAGAAAGGGAGGAAGGGAGGAAGGAAGGAAGGGAAGGAGGAAGGGAGGGAGGGAGGGAGGAAGGGAGGAAGGGAAGACGGAAGGAGAAGAGGGAAAGAGGGAAGAAGGGAGGGAGGGGAGGCATATGAGGAGGAAGTGGGGAAAGAGAAAGGAAGGAGGAAAAAAAAGAGGGAGGGAAAATTTGGGGTAGGGTGAAAGTAGAGACAGAAGCCAGTCTTGAAATCGAAATTGCTTGTCTTAGTGAGACAATGATCTGGCTAATTTGAAAGCATTTGTCTCACTAAGACAGACATGAGAATAATGCTTGAGGGGTGACTTGAGAATAAAGAGATGACCTGAATGTCAAAGAAGAAAGCCTTATTGACAAAGGTTTCCCATATTCCTTCTTGTATTCTCTCCAACCAAGGTTCTAGCCTTTAGGATGCCACTGGGTTAAGTCTCACCCAGAATGCTGCTCTGCCTCATGATATCCTAATCCAAAGTGCATTTAATCCCTACCTGTGAGAGGATTCTGGGAAAGGTACTAAATCCTATGGCTCCAAGGGTGATCTTATACATTTTAGATAGCAAATAGCATTTAAGATAGAGCACAAGCCATTTCACACTCCAGAATCAAACCCCATGCCAGAATGTCACTCCTTGACAGTGGTAGCAAGTACCTCAAATGTGCTGTGTATATTAAAAGAGTTTTATTTTCTTTTTAAAAATTATTTCATTTTTATTGAGACAGGAGCCTCGCTATGTTGCCCAGGCTGGTCTCAACCTCCTGGGCTCAAGCAATCCTCCCACCTTAGCCTCCCAAAGTGCTAGGATTACAGGCATGAGCCATCATGCCCAGCCAAATTTGAATTTTCAATTTAGCTCTAACTTATTTAGATTGAAAAGACACAGTATATGTAGGCTGATAGAAGGATGAAGTGGGCAGGATACATATGCTTTTATACTTATAGCTTGTAAGACACAAGTGTTTTTGCAGCTAGGTCTTACAGTAGAAAGTTCTAGGAGGTGTTGGAAGCAGATGGACAAAAAAATTTCAACATTAAACAGAAGAATATGTGAATGTAGACCAACTCTCATTCAGAATTACAGGTCTGGGGACCTTACAAATTGATTTGTCCTCATGGGACCATTAGATAAAAGCTAAAATTGTTATGTCCTACCTCACAAAACAAAATCAAGAAAGAAGATTGAATATTTTTTAATAATGAAATTTATGAGAATATCTAATTGCTTGAAAAATATTGAGAGATTTGCTACTAGAGGAGAATCTGAGGTCAACTTAGTGAAGAATCAGAGAGATTGAGGCACAAACACACAAGCACAGATGAAAAATCCAAGCTAATTATTAACTCCAGAGAAATAGAAAAATTATGGAGCAAAGGAAAGTAATCATAGTTTACTACATAAGTCAGTTGTATAGAACATCTACATATCTGTACAATGCAAAGAATGACTATTGTAGCCACAAAAATTACAATATAATCATATTGCAATAATGGGAGGTCCAGAAGGTATGTGGGTGTGTGTGTAGTGTTTTTGGGGGTTGTGAGGGGGCTATGTGTGTTTGTGTGCATAGTGTGTGTTGGGGGCTGTTTTCATGGGGTATGTTTGTGGAGTTTGTGAGGAGTATGGTGTGTGTGTGTGTGTGTGTGTGTGTGTGTGTGTGTGTGTGTCTTGATGGCAAAGAAGTAAAAGGAAGCTAGATCCTCACTTTACAGGCAAGAAATCCTATTAAGTGGCAAGACAAGTATACTCTATAAAGATATGAAGGTTAATGTCAAAAAATGCACAAAAGAGTTGAAAATGGCTGCCTCCAGAGAACAGAACATCAGAGGAGAGTGAAGACTGGTGTTTTTACAATCTGATTTTTAAAATTCTGTGCATGTGTAACTTCGATAGAAGAAAAATATTTTCTTAAATTATGCACCTACAGTGATGCCACACACAGTTTAGAGCTCAATAAACGTGAGCTATTCTTATTGACCATAGAATGTTACCATCGTTAAAACAGGCCAATGACAACAGACTCCATGCTTCCCTGCAGGACAACCTCATGACAGAGCTTTCTAGAGCCCAGATCCTCCGAGAGCACCTCCTCTCTGCCACGCTCCGTGCTAGGTCCTGAGATGCAGCAGCGAACATTCAGACCCAGCTCTGCCTGTCCCCGGGTTCATTCTAGTGGGGATGACATAAGCATCACCTGCATTTAGGACAAGCGCTGGGGGTGTTGGGGTTTTTTTTTAATGCAATTTGGTAAGTGAGCGCTTGGTTCAGTGCATTTGGATTTTTGCACCAAATTTGGTTTGAGACCTGAATCTCGGCTCCTGTTGGCTGGCACTGACAAGGCAGCTAGCTTGGCTTGGTTTTGTAAGTTCTTGGCAATGGTAATCAGGACAGGTGCTATGCCCTTAAGCCAGCCATGGTTAACCAAATTAAAATCCAATCAGGGCACACAACATTCTGAAGTGGATAGGCCCACTGTAGCCAGGTCATCCAGTGCTCATATTTAGAGAGAGAACAGATTAGGGACAGGAAACTAACCTGCAGCTCACCCAAGGTGGCACTGATAAACAGTTCAGAGCGGAAACTCTGATCTTCTCTGAGTGCATTATACCTCACTGAGCTGTTTAGAAGGCCCTTCACATTTTGGGTGAATGAAGGGGATGTGAGCAATCACATTTCAAAGTTGCTTTTTCTATCTAGGCCCTTGAACTGACATTCCAGAGACCAAGGCCAAATGTTGAAAAGCTGCTCCCCAAGTCCCTCGGAACCTCTCTGCATTCCCTGAGCTGTGTCACGGCTCAGACTGTGACAGAGCATCTCCCAGAGCCCCATGCAGTGATTCACAGAAGCGGTGGGTGTCTAGAGAAGCCAGCAGGAATCTAAAAAGACCTAAGGTACTCACGTAGGAATGAGCCTATAAATTCCTCCCCCATCACCGTTGCCAAGGCAATGCAGGTGGGCCCGGAGCCGGCTCTCGGGCAGGAAAATCCCCACCTCCTCCCTCTACACACATTGCCCTGGCTACATGTGGCTTTTTATGACAGCTCTGCTTCAGCTACTCCTTCTCCTCATTTTATCCAGATGCCAGCTAGGTTGCAATATTCCAAGAAGCATGGAAGAGCCCGTAGTATGATTTTCTCTGAGCTTTGACCTCTCCCTTAGAGATGAGCCCACTTCAAGCCCTACTCTGGGAAACTCAGAGATACCCAGCACTTTAACACGTGCATTGCAGCCTCCCCTCTGCTCCCCTGCCTTCCTTCATAGCCACGTGTTCAGACCTTCCCGATTCATCAACCACATTACGCCTAAGGACTTCCTCATGGCAACCTGCCCTCTGATCTATGTCACCCACCAAAGTTGGCATGCAAAACACAGGCAAGGGAGTCTCCACCTGTTTTAGGAAGAACATTGTGGCCATAGTCATAAGGGAAAGACAAAGCCAGCTGTATTTTGACTGCAAGGACTCTTGTTTCTGCTCCCAGCAGGGCCAAGGGTGAGAAAGAAAAGGGGAAGTGACATTTTGACTCCATTTCTGTTTCTTTTCCCCAGAGGATTTTGTGATGTCATTCAAATTCCCCTCCCCTGTGCTGCTGCACACAGAGACCTTTTTATTCCTAACCCAGCTGCTGCTATTCGTGATGACAGCCTTGCCATATGGTACCACTCACTCGGCTCCATCAATCAGCATCAAGTTCATCTTAATAGTATTTACCCCACACTTCTCTGGCAGTCAAACTCAGCTGCATCCAGAGCTGTCCTATGGGTGTTCCCATCCACTGTACTCCATTGGGAATACTTACACATGTGTATGGATGAAGCTAGATGTGTTACAGCTTCATCTGGGCTTGGTGCTTGTTGTTTTTTTTGGTGGGTTTTTAGTTTTGTTTTTGTTTGTTTTGAGACAGAGTCTTGCTCTGTTGCCCAGGCCAGAGTGTAGTGGCTCGACCTCAGCTCACTGCAGCCTCTGCCTCCCCGGTTCAAGCGATTCTCCTACCTCAGCCTCCCAAGTAGCTGGGATTACAGGCATGCGCCACCACACCTGGCTAATTTTGTATTTTTTAGCAGAGATGGGGTTTCACCATGTTGGCCAGGTTGGTCTTGAACTCCTGACCTCAGGTGATCCACAAGCCTCAGCCTTCCAAAGTGCTGGGATTATAGGCCTGAGCCACCATGCCCAGCCTTGGTTTGGTACTTGTTAAGATGAATCAAAACAGACAATTAAGGACCAAAACAGGACAAGAGGAAGGTCCATTCTAAATGTTAACCCACTGTTGTCATTCACCAGACTGTAGATGCCTAATTAATCACCGATTGCATCAACTGGTGGCAGATGAGAGTCAAGCATGTCATTTGATCTAGAGATAATCTACTTATGAGCTGAAGCATGGGTAGGGGTAAGCCCGAGCGAATGGGCACGCACACCAGATAGAGTGAGAGGCAGACAGAGCCCAAGCATCTGAGATAGTCATAAGTCTGGGGAGGGAACCTGAAGACAAGCACATGTGCCACCTCATCCACTCACTCTAGCATGGTAGTTTTATCCCAAAAGAGCCTGGGCATCCTACTCCCATCCCACCTCCCCTTACCCTGAATATCACTATCTAGGTAAACCCAGGGGAGTGTTTTGTTCTTAAGCCTGTCCTCTGAGGAAGTAGGGACAGGTTTGTGTGGCCTGAAATCAGTAGGACCTGTGGTGACCCTGTTTCCACCCAACTGTGGAAGCTCCCCGCCACATTAAGAAATGGAATGAGCTAGAAGTCACAGAAAGATCTAGGAGCTAAAGACCATGAATATACTTTCAAAGCTTCTTTGAGCATTTCTTTTTTTTCTTTTTCAGTAGTTGAAGGATGAGGCTTATAAACTACTGAAATAAAATGTCATTGTCTAAGACATAGCAATTGACATATGTAAGTCAGTATATACAAATGAAATAGATCACTATGAATACTAAATTAATGCTTTCCCTTTTAGGCCACATGGGGTTGTCAGAGGTGTGTTGAGGCAGACGAAGCTCTGGGGTCCCTTTCGGGAGCTGTCTCAACTGTGGTGTCTTCAGTCAAAAGTGGGATGACATCACCACATCTTAAATGTGGGGAGATTAAATAAGATGATTGGTATAAAGCCTAGCACATCATGGGTGCCCAATGCATGTTGGTTCTCTCCTCATCTCCTTTTTTCTCCCAAATCATAGACTTACTATGTCAGTATCAGCACAGATCTAGAACAATGAACAAAGTACAAAGAACAACAAGAACCCATTAAGTGTTTTTCACCTTGAATAATGTGGGTGGAGGACAAGGGAGACTGACATATTACTGAAGAGAAATAAGATGAATGGACACTAAACGTCACTTATCTGGACTGACAGTAGTAGCCCATTCACACATTTCTCCAAAAAGGACTAGTTGTATTAGATGCACAGCTCTTCCTTCTATCCCCTTTTCAAAAGAAAAGAAGAAAGGCTTAACAATTCTAGATGGAGGCGATCAAAATCTGCCTTTACTGCTTATCTTGATGACTTCGTGCATATTCCTCATCGTCCAATGAATATTATTTTATACAGATGTGAACATCTGGCTCCAACTATCAAAACAAGCCTGCTGCCACTTGGGAGTTAAAACATGCAGGCTCTGGGCTTTCTGCAGAAAGGACTTTTTAAAAATTGTAAGATGCTTCCATGAGGCAGGGCTGTGCGTGCCTGTGTGGTCTGTGAGCAGGCTGGCAATGGGAGGGCTCCCCCTCACAGAAACCCCCAGAGCACAATCTTGAGAAACACATGGCGAGGCAGCCAGGCATGGGGATTTTCCAGTCTGCCCTTCCCCACCCTGCCTGTGACAACTCAGCTCATGCATCAGGCAACAAATCCCATTCATGAAGCTGTCAGTGATTCCTGAATCCATTGAGAGCCTCGGAACCCATCTTGCCAAGGTTCAACAGTGGGTTAATCCCAGCTCACCTAAATTATTGTTTCCTGAACACAAAGGAACATGAAATTCTGTGCTGGGGCTGTATGTCAGCACAGTTAAGTAGAAATATATCCGACCTCAAATGAGAGGGAATATATGACTATATGAGCACCTGGGGAGCTGTGCTTCTCCCTCCAGCCCAAGGCTTCCTTTTACTGCTACCCCCAGGGCATCCAGAGGCAGAGATGGGACCACAAAAACCTGTTCTGTAAACAACTGAATCTCAGAAGGGTCAGTTTTATTTTTTTCATGCTCCCCTTTTAAAATCCACAACTGTAGGATGTATGCTATCTTCCTCTTCTACCATGGAGACAGCCACCAGTAGGGTAGGGTGAGGAGGGAGGACGTTCCTGTATTCGGGCCATCAATTTAGAAAGCACATGAGGTTACAGTGTCACTTCATGAGGCACAACTCTGCAAGGACCAGTTCCATAGCACAGTGAGATTAATTTGCATATTATAATCTGTGCATAATCTTTACCTGCAGTAATTACAGTCCATAGGCTCTAGACATAAAGAAACATGCATTTTATAATAGTACTGGATTAATTAAAAAAAACTCAGGAGTTAACATTTAGCTCACAAATTGGAGAAAATATTAAATTCACTGAGAAATAGGCACACCATAAGGCTGTAAAATGGTCCATTATAATCTCACTTTTACAGAAAAATCATCTGTAATGTGAGAGTGCCGAGTGCAAGACCTCAGCATAAATCTACAAAAGAAACGCTACTCTTCCAGACTCAGAAGGAGAGAAGGGAATAAAAATCACATCAGCAATGTATATTGCTCCCAGATTACAAAATTAGGTTTTATAGGGAAAAATTCAGCCTGTAGTAATGGTCAGTAAAAATGACCAGTTTTATAGAACAGGAACTTGTAGAGATAAAGGGGAAAAGGCAGCAGGAAAAAAATTAAAGACTTCCACAGAAACCTGTCCAGAAATAGAAATTCAAAGGACTTCCTGCTCTTTAATAGAATAAGCTCAGTTGAGATGAAGTAAAATTATGGATGAAGCAAGGCACGTTATTTGACCAAACTAAGATTTTTTTTTTAATAGTCATTCAAGAAAGAGCAAAAACCACTACAATTATCTACCATGGATAGAGGTTGTTCAGAGCTGGTAAAGTAATTGAAACTGTGGCCACTCACTAAGCGCAGTGGCTCATGTCTATAATGCCAGCACTTTGGGAGGCTGAGGTGAACAGATCACCTGAGCCCAGGAGTTCAAGACCAGCCTGGCCAAAATGGTGAAACTCCATCTCTACAAAAATACAAAAATTAGCTGAGTGTGTGGTGTACACCTGTAATCCCAGCTACTCTGGAGGCTGAGGCACTAGAGTCATTTGAACCCAGGAGGCAAAAGTTGCAGTGAGCCTTGATTGCATCAGCCTGGGAAACAGAGCAAGACTCCATCTCAAAAAACGAACAAAAAACCTGTTGCCAGAAGCTCACCATCTTGCATGCTATGATTCGTAGCAATGGGTAGGCGCAGCTAAATATAGCTAAGGCTGTATTTCAAGACTTCAACTTAAAACATATGATAATAAATGGACTAAGCCAGTAAAGTTTTATAAGTGTAAACCTAAGAATATATTCTTTAATGGCTGCTATGAAATATGCTGGAATCGGGCCAGGATATTAACACACATTCTGGCCAACACATCAGGCTTTTGGTTATTTGAGAAAAGCAATAGAGGCAGGGAGCTCCCCATCGGAGCTGTCCTCGCTGCATTCACACCCACAGTCATGAATGAATGATCACTGTGAACCCAGCATGGCACCTAATGCTCCAGACACAGAGATGGGAAGTTTCTTAAGATGCTCACCATTAGCTACCAAAAAATGTTTTAAAAACATCAATCGCAATGTGTAATAGGAGGCTGCAAGGGAAAGCAGGATTGGGAATGACTTCTATAAGAGGCTGAAAAGTCTCTTTGCATCAAAGAATGAACCCAGGAGACCAAAGTTGCAGTGAGCCTTGATTGCACCAGCCTGGGCAATAGAGCGAGACTCCCATCTCAAAAAAAAAAAAAAAAAAAAAAAAAAAAAAAAAAAAACCTGTTGCCAGAAGCTCATCATCTTGCATGCTATGGTTTGTACCAATGGGTAGGTGCAGCTATCTAGGTACCTATGTGCTCTCCAGTTTGCTACCGTGCCCACCTATCTTCCTGCAAAAGGTAGAAATAAATAGCTAACTGACTACAACCCAAACACTAGGAAAGAGGGAGTCATTTCATTTTACCAAGGGTGGGATAAGGTGGTGCCAAGCATTTGTTGAAAGCATTTGGCTTGATGACACCACTTCCAACCTCACTCCACCCCTATATTATTGGCTGTGTGGCCAAGCTATGGCTCTTAGGACAAAATCAGAAATCTAGTTTTATTTTGTTTTAGGGGGTCTGGGATTGGGAGCTTCATTGAAAGTTTTTTGTGATGTAAAAAGAATGACTTTACCCATAATCCCCATGTTTCAAAGGAAGAAAAAAAAAAGAATGACGTACCTGCCGCAAACCCTCCCTGCAGTCACTCTCCCCCCCCCAACCCCCATCTTTTTTCTTTTTCTCTCTTTTTGGCTTATATGGAGACATGAGCAGGAGCCATGGCAGCTATCTTGCAACCACAAGTAAAAGGCTAAGGAAACTGCAGAAATAACCCTGGCATCAGAATGTCTGCATTCTAAAGTCACAGTAACCCTGACTGCTAAGCCAACACCAGTACCTGCCACCTCTTGATGTCTTGTTACATAGAAAAGAATCTTCCCAGATGTGTTTAGACCACAGTGGTTGGTGCAGCCAAATGCATTCCTCAGTGACACATTTTCTAAGGAGTCTATCTCATGCTTTAACTCCACGAGTCAAATGTTTACAGCGGTCCCTTACTGATGATGAAGTCCAAACTCTTTTGACTTTGTAGTTAGTCTGACTTCTCCCTTCCTTTCAGCTTTACCACCCTTATTCCCAACATGAGACACTCCGGTGGAGCCAGGATGGCTTCTTCTGTCTTGTCCCAGCGAGCAAATTCAATTTTCCCGCTGTGAATTCCTGAAGCCCTAGAAGAACTACATGACGATGCACTTCTCCATTTCTACCTGGTTCCCAACCCTGAGCACTTTCTGAGGGCCAGGACTAGAGCACATGTTTACTTTTCCATGTCTCCCATGATAACCGGCATGCTAACAGAGACATCTGGGGAGAGAGTAACAGAATGTCTGGCAGAAGCAGAGCTTAGCTAGATCTGCTCTAATCCCCTCCTTTTGATTGGACGGCCAAGACCCAAAAAAGGTGAAGGGACTAACTCAGGGTTACACATTGGAGTATTAATAGGCCCAGAACCACAACACCAGGCTGCTGGCTCTTCAATGAGCATATTTTCCACTATACCTCACTGTCTAAAAGAAAAGTGCCAATTAGAGGCACACAAAGTAACAAAGCTGGTGATGACTACAATGGATAATTACGTCTTTTCAGAGGGTATGAAAAAGAGAGCTGAGCAGAGGCTCATGTGAAGGAGCTTCTTCAGTGTATAATTAACTGTTGCCTTCTTTGGATTGTTCCAGTAACGAATTCAGCAATGAGCTGCAGAACACCCTTGCCTGAAGGGGCAAGAATAGCAATGCCAGTCTTGTCGGAAGACATGGGCTGGGGTCTTAGGTGAGCTCTGAGTCATTGGGTCCATTTCCCATTCGTGTGCATTTATGATGGCACCTGACATGTATACCTCAATCCCACTCCTCTTTCTAACAGGCTGGGAACTGTGCTTTAAGCTGTTTTTTGTTTGTTTGTTTTGTTTTTTTGTTTTGAGACAGAGTTTTGCTCTTGTTGCACAGGCTGGAGTGCAACTGTGCCATCTTGGCTCACTGCAACCTCTGCCTCCCTGGTTCAAGTGATTCTCCTGCCTTAGCCTCCCAAGTAGCTGGGATTACAGGCACCCACCACCACACCTGGCTAATTTTTCATATTTTTAGTAGAGACAGTGTTTCACCATGTTGGCCAGGCTGGTCTCGAACTCCTGACCTCAGGTGATCCACCCACCTCGGCCTCCCAAAGTGCTGGAATTATATGTGTGAGCCACTGCACCTGGCCGGCTCTGAGTAGTTTTTAGAAGTGAAGCTTCAGAAATTATAAAAGACTGTGATCCCCAGAATGACTTGACTGGAGGCCCCTGAGAAGATGGAAGTTGTAAATTCACAGTCATAAAATCTTAGATTTTGAAGCTACATGAAACCCTGGAGATGACTTAGTCCAATCTCTTTATTTTAAAGATGGAGAAACTGAAGCCCAGGGAGGGAAAGTGACTAGCCTATGGTCACACAGCCAGGGGTGGCAGAACTGTCAGATGCTGTGTTTGTCTGCTGCTTCCTGGGTACACACACTACTGGCCACAGTTCCCAGGCCTTGCCTCTCTGGTGCCAGAGTGTCAAATGTCTTTCAGAGCCCCCTGAAGTGTCATGCTGCTTACTGGAAAGATACGTGGATTGCTACCTAATAAGAAATGAGGCAAAGCCATTTTTTTCCTCCCCAGTTAATCAATAACTGGACACTGGGGCCTCCCTTTCCTGCAACATGATCTAAAGTGTTACGTAGGGTGAGTGAAGGATTTGGCAACACTGCCAGCACCTTTTATTTAAACACAGAAGCCAGACAGATCAATGGACAGGGTGAACTACACTGTATGATGTTGTTTGTCTTAATATCCACTATGAGGCTTTAAAACTCTCTAAGTTTGCAGAATCACAAAGAATGAGAACTAAAAAAGAAGCCAAGGAGCAGAGTCTGGCCAGAGTCAGATACCTAAACAGTGACAGAACCAGTATTAATAGAGAAAGAAATCCCTGGGCAAGATGACACACCAAGTTAATAACAGGCCAGGGAGCTCTTATAAAAGGCACATGTAAATAGAAATGTTGAATTACAAATGCAAACCCCTGTGACTGCCTGGAGTTCCAGCCCAGCAGTTTTCCAATATCTATGCTGGAGCCACTGAGGCTGCACCTCAAATCAAGGCTGGTTGAGGTCACACATCAGTGCAGGTGTCCAGAGGTCTGGGCTTGGCGAGGAATGCTCTTAAGATCACCATCTTGAAATTCTTATCTTTGAATTCTTATTTCCGATGGGAAAGTGAAGAATGCACCAGGATCTGGGGCCTTGCTTCACACTCAAGCCCTCACCACCACAATCTCCCTGTTCCCTGGGAAGGGTTCTTCACTGCCTCCTAGTCTTGGTGCCCTGCTCTTACCCCGCCTCCCCAACCCCACCCTGCAATGGATACTGCCCACTGCCTGGGGCATCAATGAGATCATGTTGGGGATGGGGCAGGGTGCAAGCTGTCATTCTCTCAACACTCTTTGCCTCCAGTGAGAGCCTGTGCACAGACAAGGATGCTGGAAGGTTCAAGGGTGTCTCAGGGCAAGGCATGGTGGCAGCTGTCTCCATCCCTGGCTGGCAGCTGTCCTCATTCCAGGCTGGCAGTACTATAGCTGTTCAGTACATAACAGGGCAAGTGTGAGCCTCTGCCTACCCAGGTCCCAAATGCTTCTCAGTGTGGAAGTTGTGATCCCTTGAGAGTTGCCAGTCTGTGAGTTAGGGCTGACTTCCATGACCTGGATGGGCAGACTACATCAATCTCGAGGCTAACAGAGAATGTCCTGTCCTGGAAACTAGTGGGCCACAATGTGAAGTCACAAATATGGGTCCCCAAGAACTTGGGAGAGTCCGTACTGGCCTTTGCAAATATCCCCATGCCTGAGGAAGTGCAATAACAAACAGAAAAAAATTTTAAAGCATAATAGAGAAAGAAACCAGAAAGAAAAGAAAAAGTTTAATAGCTTGGAACCTTTAGCAGCAGTTTTGTCTAGCTTTTGAATAAGGAAACTGCAATTTCATTTTGTACTACTCCCCACAAATTATACAGCTGGTTCTGCCTCAAGATTAACCCAGGCCCTGGGACCTATCACATCCATACAGGATGTTAAGGATCCAAATGGCTCAGTAATCACGGAATAGGAAAGTAATCCCTGCTTGAATAGGTACTCTAATTTCTGCCCTACATTGTACTCCAGAGTTATTGCTACATACCTGTCTTGATCTCTTTGTCTTACTTTCCAATTGAGTTTTGCTCTAGAACAGGCGTCCCTAGCCTCTGGGCCATGGAACCATGCTGGTCCCTGGCCTGTTAGGAACTGGGTCGCAGAGCAGGAGGTGAGTGGCCGATGAGTGAGCGAGCATCACCACCTGAGCTCCACCCCCTGTCAGAACAGTAGTGGCTTTAGATTCCATTGGGAGCATGAACCCTACTGTGAACACATGTGAGGGATCTAGGTTTCACACTCCTTATGAGAATCTAATGCCTGATGATCTGAGGTGGAACAATTTCACCCTGAAACCATCCCCTGCCCTGATCTGTGGAAAAACTGTCTTCCACAAAATAGGTCCCTAGTGCCAAAAAAGGTTGGGGACCACTGTTCTAGAACACCAGTCCCTAAGATCTGTTACCCACATCTTCCTGAAGTTACCTGCTTGTCAAAATATCCATCCTCTTATCCTTTAGGAACCTCTCAGGCCTTATTTCCTGGGCCAGTGGGCCCTTCGGAGAGAGAGGAAAGAGCCAACATCTGATAGGGGCCTGCTCCATGGCAGAGCTTCACCTGAGTGAGTCCTCGATTCCACATTCTCTTCATATGAAACAACACTAGCCCCAGCTGAGGCATGTTCTATTTTATGAGCCAGTTTCTTTGGTCTGGTTTCTTTGTATTCTTTGTAGCCAGAAGTAACTAGGAATATTGTCTTCACCAAGAGAAAACTTAGTAATTTGGGATAGTTTAACCCATTGAAGGGTAATTTGAAGAGTTCACACTGTGTGGATAGGATTACCTGAAGGATGGTGGTAATTTTTCTGTTGATAAAAGGCAAAGCAAGCTGGGCGTGGTGGCTCATGCCTGTAATCCCAGCACTATGGGAGGCTGAGGTGAGGGGGCAGGGGATCACCTGAGTTCGAAACCAGCCTGGCCAACATAGTGAAACCCTGTCTCTGCTAAAAATACAAAAATTAGCTGGGTGTGGTGGCACACACCTGTAATCCCAGCTACTCAGGAGGCTGAGGCAGGGGGATCACTTGAACCCAAGAGGTGGAGGTTGCAGTGAGCCAAGATCATGCCACTGCACTCCAGCCTGGGCAACAGCAAGAGATTCTGTCTCAAAAAAAAAAAAAATGGTAGGGAGGGACAAAGCAAAATAATTTAACTTTGAGCCAGAAGAGATTTAATACAAGGAGAAAGTTCCTAGGGCTGGAAATTATCTGATGGAAGAGGATACCGAGACCCTAGAGAAGGGGTCCTAGACTCCCTTTAAACAGATTTGGGTTGGAATTCACTCACTCACTGTGTGACTCTGACAACCCTTTTGAGTGTCCAGTGCTGAAATGAGGACAATATTACCTACTTCATCGTTTTGCTTTGTGAAATCGGCCTGCACTCAGTACTTAGTAGTTTTGTCTTGCATTTTAGTTGGAAATGCCCTGGTGTAGGGTAAAGAGCATGAATTTTGAGATCTGGCAGTCTTGAGTCCGAATTCCAGATCTGCCACTAACAGAGTTACCTTCAGAGAGAGATTATTGCACCTCAGTTTTCAATAAACAGGAGATAGGCCACCTATAACACACCTGTTATGAATATTAAATGAGATAGTTGTTAATAGATTAATGTATAAACTGTCTGAAATGTATTAGCACTCAACAAACATTAATGTTCTCTCTTCCATCTAATCATATGCAGACATGTGTGCACGCACGTGGCTTTAATCAGTAACAGGAAGTGAAATGTTGATGAATCCTAGGTCTTTTTTTTTTATTGTAAGGTGTGTGAAAGCCAAGCATACTTGGCTTTCATACAGAAACTCAAGATTTTTTTATTTACTCAGAGACAATACTGACTTTAAAGA